TGTGTATCCTATGCTTCACGGGTTGTTAGTGTTTTTGTCGAGATTTTAGGTCCAAAGAGGACCAAATGAAGCCTATGGATATTAAACCGAGGCTAAAAGCAAGAAAATGATAGAAAGAAGCCAAGGAAAGGAGCAAAACTGAAGAAAAGGTGAAGAAAAGGGCTTAGAAGAACCTGCACGGCCGTGCCATACCTTGCACGTTCGTGCAAGAGTGCTCCAGTAAGTCAAGACCTTCTGCCTGAGCATGCACGTCCATGCAAGATACCCAGCACGTCCGTTCAGGAGTGCTCCAGCAAATCAAAACCTTCTGTCAAGGCCTAAACGACCATGCTTAAGTTGGCACGTCCGCGCAAAAGAGGCTCCATGCGATAATTGGCACGTCCGTGTTGGATTTCTAGCCCAAACAGTAGCTACTGCCTTGCCCTGAACGGCCGTGCATAGGGAGGCACGTTCGTGCAGCTTAGGTTGCACGTCTGCGCCAAACCTGGCACGTCCGTGCAGACCTGCAGTCGAACTCTTTCCTCGTTTTCTCCGTCCTTTTTATTTGGGGGTCTTATAAATATCCCCTTTGAGCTTATTTGTACGGGACATAAAAGTTTATAGAGCTTTCTTTTAATTTTGCAATCCTAGAACATTAAATTCTCAAATCATTAGTTATATTCTAATTATTAGCTTGGAAAACTCAATTTCAACCATTGTAGAAGACAAGTTTCCACCATTGTTGTTCAAGTTTGAAGCTTCATAGTAACTATTTCTTACGCTTCTCTTCCATTTCTCTTTACTTAGTTGTTAATTACTTTCTTAATTCTTGCATGCTTAGATTGTTAATTAGCTCAATCCTTAGTTTGAATCCATTCATGAATTGCTTGAAATCTTTAATTACTTTAACTTCCATGGATTGTGAGTAGTCTAATTTTCTAGGGTTTGGGTAAAACCCTCAATGTAGTCACTAAGCTAATTACTTGTTGCATATAATAATTTGGTAATTAATGGGTGTTAATTAGTTGAGCTTAAGTGGTTTAATTGTTCAGTTCTTGTATATGGCCATTGCTAGAACTATTTATCCAAGCTTTCTCAACGAAGGATCGAGAGATGAACTTGAGTTAGCTCCCTTATGCTTAATTGTCTTGAAATGCCACGAGAATAGGACTTTCTGGTCAAGGGAATGTTTATGTCATCATGATTATGTTTCAACACTTGTTTTATGCTTTGTAACCACGAGAGTAGGTTGTATTCATGATTCAAATAATCTCTCTAGCTTGAGAGAGTAGTTGGGTTCCTTAGATGACTTCCCCTAATTTATCCCCTTAATTTACCTTGATTGTTGCATGCTAATTGTGATTTGTGATGAAGTTGAGTGGTATAACCCGAGCCTTAGATTTCCTCTAAATATCGCTAATCTCCTCTTAGCTTTATTTGAATGGAACTAGTAGAAGTTACTCAAGACCAAAAAAATTTCGACTTCATTTAGCTTATTTAAACGGTAGTATCTCGGTGGTTGATTCAACGCCTCTCTTGGGTTCGACCCTTTCTTACCCTTGCTATTAGTTAGTGAGACCAAGATAGGATTATATTTTGGTAGGCTCGACGATGACCTATCAAATTTTTGGCGCCGTTGCCGGGGAGGCAAAGTCACATTGAATGTATTATTGTTGAATGAGACTAAATGTGTGTATATGTATAATAGTTATCTTACCTTAATTTTTGTTTATGTGTGTTTAACTTGTGATAGTCATTGCTAACGTTTTTCTTAGCTTTGTTTTACTTTGCATGACACGAAAGAGTAAGCAATCACCGCTTATTCCCGTTGATCCAGAGTTAAATAGGACTTTGAGAAACATGAGGAGACTTTTGCACGGCACACTCGAGTTCTCCATTATATATTCGAATTCCGATCCGGAAGAGGTTTTTGGAACTAACTAAGAAGATAACATGGGAGAGAATCCTCCACAACCTTTGCTACGAGACTATGACCACCCCAACGCATTCCAACTTCGGAGTGGCATATGTCTCCCCACCACAAATGCAAACAACTTCAAGCTTTCACCTCAACTCATCCGCATGATTCAAAGAGATCAATTCGGAGGTAGTCCTCATGAGTTTCCTTTTGCTCATTTGGACAACTTTCTTGAGTTGTGTACAACCATCGAAACAACATTTCGGAAGAGTTCATCCGTATGCACATGTTTCAATTCTCCCTCCGTGATAAAGCAAAGAATTGGTTGAGAACGGTTGAAGAGGGATCATTGAGTACATGGGACGAAGTCACTAGAGCCTTTCTTGGAAAGTATTGTCCTCTGGAAAAGACCATCGAATTAAAAAGAAAGATCACCAATTTCAATCAAGACATTGATGAAACTTTGAGTGAAGCTTGGGAGCGTTTCAAAGATTACACAAGGAAATGCCCCCACCATGGTTTTACATCATGGATCATTGTACAAAGCTTCTATGACGATCTTACTCCTACTTCAAGGGCTAACCTAGATTCCGGGTCGGTGGTAGCCTCAAAAAGCTATCGGTGGGTGATGCATATAAGATGATTATGCATATTGATATGTTCATTTTATATAGTGTTTTACCCCCGTCCCTTGGACATATTTAGGAGTATTCTTGGCTCTTTAGAGCCACTCTTATTACTAATATGTGTTTTCTAGAGTATTCGTAGGTTTGGTATTGTTTTATAGGAAATTGCGGATTTGGAGCATTCTCCTGGACTTATTTGATCCACTACAAGCGTTGGAGTAGGATCACATTATTATTACCACATTTTGAAGCCCAACCCGCGTTAGAGCAATCAAATCGGTGATTAAGGGCTCGGCGAAGAAGAAGAGACCCAGGCAATGGACCGAGTCTTAATGACCAAGGACGAAATGCGAATTGGGCTAAGAAAATAGCCCAATCGAAGAAGTCCACATATGCTCGAGTGCTCGCCCGACCGGGAAGACTCTCGCCCTGAGGCGCGCCCGACCGGGCGAGGCAGATGGAAAGAAGCAGCTCTTCGCCCGAAGGCGGGCCCGGCCGGGCGAACCTCTGCCCGACCGGGCTCATGTTTCTGAGGAGATTAGCGCGACTTTTACTTTGTTTTAATTAGGATTTTCTAGGCTAAGTATAAGTATGCTTTTGTTAAGCGAGTTTTGGACGTCTTTCATTACTTAATTTCTAGATTTTTAGTTTTAAGCTTTTCGTTAGTACTCTTGTTTTCTCTCTCTACACTCTTAGAGTTTATACAATTCATTATTTCCATTTATTTTGGTCACGATTTCTTCCCCTTTTATTTTCAGTAATTTAATTGCTTTGATTTATTATGCTTTGTTTAATTGCTTTGATTAGTTTAGTTTTAATTATGCACGAGTAGTTTATATCTAGGGTTTTGGGGATCCATAAATAATATGAAGGGGTAATTTATTATTGTTGATTGTCAATGCTTGATTGATTTCCTATTGATTTATTTAATGCTATGCAATTAGATTTGCGCGTGTTTAATTGTATGAGTTATGCAATATTGATTCGAGATTCGAGAGATGTGAATTAATGTTTAGTCTTAGTTCCAATAGGAAGGTTAATTTATAAGTGGTTAATTCAAGATTCGAGAGATGCGATTTAATACCGATAGATTAATTCTGTGATTGTAATACGTAGAGAAAGCCCTTTATGATCTGATTAATAGATGCATTGATAATTGATTGTTGTGTTTTATCCTGGAATATTATTTATTGGTGAACCTATACCCTAGGTTTTGATTTATTGATTTCCTCCCTTATTCAATTTGTTTTAGTTTAATCATCCTCCTTTGTTCGATTCCTATAAAAAATAATTTGGCTACTTGATTATCTAGATTATATTAATTATTTAGGAATAGAAAGACTTGTTTCCCAGTGGATTCGACCCTACTTCCCTATCTACTTTAGTTAGAGGACTTAGGTAATTATTTTGATTGGGTGATACGACTTTAGCTTGTCACATATGGAGGTGATCGAAGGCAACCTCAAACAAAGAAGGGCGGAATTCATGATCTTAGTGCAATAGATCTTATTGCATCAAAGTTCAATATGCTAGCTCACAAGCTAGATCAAGCCACCCTCACACCCTCAAGCTCTTCCTCACAAGTCATGTCTTGTGAGACTTGTAGAGGAAATGATCACTTTTCCTCCTATTGCAACTCAACGATCAAGAGCAAGCGGCGACAATTGGGCAAAGAAATGAGCAATACACCCAATCTTACAATCAAAGTTGGAAACCCCAACAAAACACGGGATGGAAGCAACACAACCAAGGCCCCCCACAAAACAACTACAACCAAATCAAAACCAACCTCAAAACCACTACAACCAACCCCATTCTCAAAACCAACAAGCTCCATGTCGTCAACCTAACCAAAGGGATCAAAACCAACAAAGACCACAATATAACCAACCCACTCCTCCTCCTCCACCTCCTCAAAAGACTAGCCTTGAATCCGTTCTTGAAACTTTCATGACACAACAAGTGAGGAACAATGCAGATATGAATGCAAACATCCAATAACTTTAAGCGCACAATAAGATAATTGAGAGCTAATTGGCTCAAATTGCACAACAAGTTGGAAGTTCATCCTCCAATCCTAGTGGTCACTTTCCAAGCTCAACGGTAGTGAACCCAAAGGAGAAAGCTAAGGCTATTACTTTGAGATCGGGAAGAGGTTATGAGGGTCCGGTTATGAGTGAAGAGGAGCCACAAAAGAGAGATGAGGGAGTTGTGGTGAGAAGTGAGGATGATATTGAAAATAAAGTAGTTGAATTTAAGAGAAAAGAGCAACAAAAGAGTGATGAGAGAGCCACAAAGAAAGATGAGGGAGATGAAGAAAGAATAGAAAAGCCCCCTATGAGAGTGTATAAGCCCCCCATTCCATTTCCTTATAGAATTGTAGAGAAAAAGTTGAATGAGAAGTTTTCAAAATTTCTTAAAGTCATGAGAGGACTTCAAACTAAGTGAACATCCCCTTTCTTCATGCTATGTCACAAATGCCTACCTACGCAAATTTTTTGAAGGATCTTCTATCCAACAAGAGTAGGCTTGAAGAGAGTGCAACCATCTCCCTTCCTAAAGAGGTGAGTGCAATCATTCAAAACAAGCTTCCCCAAAAGCTTGGTGACCCCGGTAGCTATGCAATACCGGTGAAGATTGGAGATTTGGAAGCTATGGATGCTTTGTGTGATCTTGGGGAAAGTGTGAGCTTTATGCCCTATTCTATTGCAAAGGGCTTGAAAGTTGGAGACTTGAAACCAACAAGAATGTCCTTACAATTAGCCGACCGCATGGTTAGGCTACCTTTGGGGATTCTTGAAGATGTGCCGGTTCAAGTTGGAAGAGTATTTGTGCCATGTGATTTTGTGGTAATGGAGATGGAAGAAGATACAAGCTAGAGTACCCCTCATTTTGGGGAGACCATTTTTGAACACCGCAGGAGTGGTGATTGATATGAAGGAAGGAAGATTGACTTTGAATGTGGGAGATGAGAAAATTTCATTTTCATTCTCACAAACTTTGAAAAAGCCATTGATTGATGAGGTTCATAGAATTGACACATTGGAGAGGGACTTACAAGAGTTCCGAGAAAGATTGTATAAAAGAGATCCTTTACAAGCTATCCTAACGGGAAAGGCTTAGTTGAGGAGGGTGAAGAAGCAAAGGGGTATGATCTCTTAATCAACCAACCTTTGGTCCACGATGTGATGAAATTTGAAGTGCTTAACGTGGAAGCAAAAGAGGAGAGGACTACGCCTCCTCCTAATAAGGTTAAACTTAAACCCCTTCCCCCTCTACTTAAATATGCTTTCTTGATTATAGTGAGAGTTATCCCGTTATTGTCAATGCTAAGCTCGATGACACCTATCTTGAGAAACTCCTAGTTGTTTTAAGGGAGAATAGAGATGTCATTGCGTACAAAATTGATGACATTAAGGGGATAAGTCCCACCATATGCATGCATAAAATTCTACTTGATGATGATCATGCTTCCTCAATTGAGCACCAAAGAAGGCTCAATCCAAACATGAAGGAAGTGGTGAAAAAAGAAGTTTTGAAACTTCTTGAAGCGGGCATAATCTACCCTATCTATGATAATAAGTGGGTTAGCCCGGTCCAAGTTGTGCCTAAAAAAGGAGGCATGACCATCATAAAAAATGATAAGGGTGAGACCATTTCTACGAGGTCGGTCACCGGGTGGAGGATGTGCATTGATTATTGAACATTGAATAAATCCACCCAAAAAGACCACTTCCCACTCCCCTTCATTGATCAAATATTGAAAAGACTAGCATCACATAGTCATTATTGCTTCTTGGATGGATAATTAGGATTCTTCCAAATCCCAATCCAACCCGACGACCAAGAAAAGACTACATTCACATGTCCATTTGGCACCTTTGCATATTAAAGGATGCCATTTAGACTTTGTAATTCACCTTCCACTTTTCAAAGGTGTATGATGTCTATCTTTTCTAACATGCTTGAATCATCAATCGAGGTATTCACGGATGACTTTTCTATTTTTGGTTCATCTTTTGACACTTTTCTTTCAAATTTGATTAAAGTGTTAAAAAGATGTCAAGAGGTGAACTTAGTTTTGAATTGGGAAAACTGTCATTTCATGGTAGATGAGGGCATTGTTCTTGGTCATGTGATTTCAAGTAGGGGCATTGAAGTAGATCGTGCCAAGATCGAGGTAATTGAGCGCCTACCACCCCCTACAAATGTGAAGGGTATATGGATCTTGTAGGGTTTCGTAGTGACCCACACTACCCGGAATGAAACCCGCCAAGACCCGCCCCCATAATAAATGCAATTAACAAGCAAAACATAATTAAAAGCATAATAAAAGGATAAAAAATTATACTTTTGACGCGTGCTTCACTCAACTATGAGCTCTTACTTGAACCCCGAAAATACAAGGTCTCCAACGGGATCGTACCCTCGAACCCGACCCGATCGTCCTAAGCCTCGAAGGTTAGTCGAGGCACGGACAAAATATAAACTTGGAGTTTTACGAATTTCAAGGTATGCTCAACAATGGAGTTTCCTTTACTTTTCAATTCAAGTGTTATTCTCAAAATCCCAATCAAGTGGGTAAATATAGAGAATGGGAACTTGAATCCCATTTCATGATCAATGTGGGATCATGTGCAAAAGCATTAATTTATTTAATTCTAAATTAAATAATTAAGTAAATGCAATCACAATGCAACAAGTGTTAAGGGAAGAAAGAGAGTTAGGTGAGGACCATGAACCTTGGGGGGCACCATTGCCTTGCTCCCCAAGGCATGCTCCAAGCCTTTGGTCCCCACTCACCTCAAACCGCCTCAAGCATATGCGTGGCTTGCACGCACACGCACACTGAGCGAGGCTAGTGTTGCTGCTGCGATGCCCTACATGCACATGCACATACGCACTGGCCTAGCCATGCGATAGTGCGTATGCTTGTGCTGGAGCTTGCGATGGTGCGAGTCACACACACACACGCACATACGCAAGTGCCCAGCACTGCGATGGGCTGTTCTTGGTGCGTGTGGCCTGCGATGGTGCCTAGGCACCCAAGCACGCATGATGCGGTGCTGTTCCATGCGAAGGCACGCACATACGCACATGGTGCTGCGATGGGCAGCCTAGTGCGCCTAGCACTCATGGCTCGCCTAGAACACCATGGTGCGCCTAGCACACACATGGTGCACTAGGCTTGGGATGGGCTAGCCTAGCCTAGCACTTCACATGGCTAGGCCAATGTGGTGCTACGGCTATGCTCGTACTTGTTGATTGTGATTTTGCGACGCTCGGTCTCGACGCCCTAGGCTCGATATCCGACGTGTGTGCTCGTAAAACTCCGACGACTCATTAAATCCTTCGGATTAATTCGTCGTCTCGGATCGGTTATTCGATTGGTTTCTACCAGAAGGGTTCAGTTAAGATTAAGCTGTAATATTAAATATACCTTAATATTACTAATCGGAAGCGGCCTCCACCTAGGCATTCTGATCACTTGACCTTACTGAAGAATTAGCTCTGTAATAATTCTAAACCCTCTATCAGAATAATACACTTGTTTAAAGGACACCATTCCTTTCAATCTCCCACTTGTCCTTCCGGACAAGTGTGCATACAATGTATAGCCCATTTCCTATGTCGCTTAATGTCTCTTCGTGAAATATAAGGTAAGATTCATCTTCATCCTTATTACGTTCAGAAGTGTTTCTCAATCTTCGAGTTCGACTGTCAATAAACATATGATTTCTAAAATCCATCTGAGCACGACCATGCATTTTCACAGTCTCGCTCGTCGAGCGGCCTTGTAAACAACAAAGACATATTCCCTATTTGTTAATGGGGGACATTCCCAGTCTTGCATTGTAAGTTTCTTTTACTAAGAGGACCTAATCTCCTGAGTGTTCCCGTTATGATCCCTAGTTACGGCAGACGTTAGGCAACATCAAAGAGACTAGTTCTCAAACAAGAAAACTTCACAATACTCATGGTCGAGGAAACGAGTTCCGATAGCTATAACCAGAAATGTACTTATGACAATTTTGAATCTCTTAAAGTACTCTCATAGGTCGATACGGTGCAGTTCCAAACTGGCACCTGTGCAAATGATTTATGACTACTATATCCTTGCAACACAAGAAACGGTGTTGTAAATCATACTACACACTAATCTGTGGTGGCCATCAATCGTCCATCAGTTAATATGTCCCATTCATGTGACCTTTTAGCTCATCCAGTTTCACCGAGTCTCGCTAAACTGTTTGCTATGTGATACGGTTGAAAGTCTCTACTATAGCCTTTCTTGTTTGACTTAGTATTTTCCCAGCTTATACTTTGTTCAAACATTTACTTAGTTTTATACATATGGGTCGAAAGCCTTTTCAAGTCCTTCATGTTTAACACGGTAAATTCCTCTACTCGTTTAAACATTTCATTAAGTCTATCCAATAGATCTTAATTCCCACTATGTACTAAGTGTCGCCTTTTGCTTGGTCCATTGTCGAAATTCCTTTCCAACCTAAGCATTTAGTATTTGATAGTCATTTCACAATAGAGTCCACAAATTTCTTGTTAGACCATAAAAGATTGACTCTTGCTCCCACTAAACTTCTTGTTTATAAGAATTTCTATGATTCTCCATTAGACAAACCTTTTATTGACTTTATGAGAATACATGTTCCAATTCCTACATGCAATGCTTCATTTAATCCCACAATGGATTTCTTGAGCTTGCTTTCAAATCTAGCATTATTTAGAATTACAAAACCCTTAGACTATTTCCATAGTCTCTTCCAAAATCCAATTTTAGGAAGGCGGTTTCGTATTTTGCCATATTTCATATGCGCAATTTTGCTAGAATAATCACGAAAAGACTTTAGCATTCCGATTGGTGAATAGGTTTTTATTAAAATCAACGCCGTGAATGAATTGTATCCTTCTCAACCAATATAGCTTTGTATGCATATGCATTTCAACATTTGTCAGTTTTCTCCTTGAATTCTTATTTGCGATTGATGGGTCTGTCACCCTTCATGCAAGTGAATCAAGTTCCAAACATGATTTACAATCATGGAGTCTATTTCGGATTTTATGGTCTCTAACCATTATTTGGAATTTGGATTTGTCGTAGCTAATTTACAAGACACTATTCCCTCACCATCCAATGGTGAATAGTATACTTGTAAGTCTTAGGTTTATTTCTAACTTAGTAGAAATTTATAGGATTCAATCCAAGCCTTTGGTGAATTCTATACCTATACGGGGTTATACGGGGTAATAGGTTAAGCATTTACATTGTCTGTTTGATTCTAACCAATCTTCTCAGCTGCTTCCAAAGCACTTAGATTGTCAGTTTTATTAGGTTGACATTGTTGCTCGTCCTCTCGAACTTTGTCGAGTTCGATTTTCCTCCCACTTGTCATTTTGGAAAGGTGTTACTTTCCAGAAAGACACCATTTAGAGCAACAAATACTATGTTCTCAATTAGGTTGTGGAGGTAATGCCCGTAGTCTCACTTGAATACTTACAAAGAGACATGTATATTGTCTTTGGGTAAAAGTTCATTGTGAAACAAACAGTTAGCTCCTTCTTGAGCTATCTTAGCCCTTATTGAGCCACTTAGCTCCCACTGAGTCAATGAAATCCCACTGAGCTAAGAGCCCTAAACATATACTTGAAAAGACGCTAGAAACTATTTCTATCCATAATTGAATATGGTGTCCTTTCTTAGCTTCGACATTTTTGTTTAGTGTAACATTTAGTCATTTGTGCAAATCTTTAAGAACTTTATAGGAAGGGATGTGATCCATCATCATTCGAGTCATTTCCAAATGGCATCAAGGTCTCCGTCAAGAAACACTATGTTCTTTGTGGAGCTCATTGTGAAATT